TCAATTGGAGACATATAGTCAAGCTATTGAAAAAATACAAAGAATTGAAAATATTAAGAGTCAAGTAAAGGCTTTTCATGATAGAAAAAAAGACAACTTAACACAAGCAGTTATATAGAGGGACAGAACTCGAGGAGCGAGCCACCATCTAAATTGGGCCAAGAAGTCGGTGGTCCACGATCAGCAAGGATCCCGAATTAGGGAAATTTTGATAAAGGTCAGGCAGAGAGAGAGACCCAAAAGGGTACCTCACGTAGATGTCCGACATCAGAACCCAAAATGACATGTGGGTTTTGTGGGGCTGCTAACTACATGGAAGATAATTGTTGAAGAAAGGGCAAGTTCGAAAATGCTACCGATGTGGTAGTGCTGAACACCTGATTGTTCAGTGCCCTTATCTGTCAAAAGAAGGAAATTTGCCAAGGGCGGAAGGGAACACTTCTAAGCCGACCAATGCAGCGGGTAATCGACTGAAAGTGCCAGCAAGGGCCTATGCAATGGGACATCAAGAGGTGAATGACCCCTTGGCAGTCATCGAAGGTACACTCCCTATCTTCCATCGAAGGTATTGTTGCTGCCTATCATTTTCCTCTTCCTTAATCTTGTTTAAGTTTGATAGAAACTCATATTCTTGGCTTACGACGGTTAATTAGTGAGTTTTGCATGATATGGTGGAATATTTAGTTAGGGTTTGATATTTTCAGTTGTGATTCTTATTTTTTATCTAGTATATGATGTTGGTAAGCTTGGATAGAGACTTGGGGTATTGATTTGAGACATAAATGTGATTTTCAAGTATTGAATCATCAAATTTCCAACCTTAAGGATGAATCTACCCTGTTTATGACCTGTTTAATTTGTCCATGTTAGAGGTCGAATCAGGCCTTAGATAAAACATGAAAGTTGTAGGTAATGGATTATATAGCTGTCTGTAAAATTTCAAGCTCAATCGAGCTATAGTATGTGAAATGACTAAAATACCCCTGACTGTCAAATGCCTATTTCGCAGGCAGTTTTGAATTTCACATTTTTGGCTTCATTTTTCACTTTGATCCGTATCAAATCATTTTATCAAAACATGAAAATTTTAGTTCTATGTTTCAGCTTTCCAACGTATCTGAAAACACCTCAATCGGACTTTTGTAGCCTGAGTTATTGCCATTTGAATCCAGTGCTGACAAGCAGACTGACAATGAAATTCTGGTTCTGTAATCTGCAAATTCGACCTAGATCAACTGTGAACTGGGTTGAATTGTCTTCATGAAAGTTGTAACCCTTTGTCTTAGTTTCGAAATTCTATTAAGTACACCTTAATCCGATAACCACAGCTCTATTTATGGTCAAAACCGTATAATCCATTTTCATACCATTTTTCGTCGCGCACCGTTTTCATTTCCGCGCGCGCATGCATTTCTTGGCCGTTTTTGCTGTTTTGGCCATTTTAGGCCTTATTTCCATAATGGTTGTTTGACTAATAGTTAAGTATAATCTTTTATCACAGGCAGTGACGACCGGACGGAGTCGTGGACCCGTGTAAATTGCCTTGATTTGCGTGCTAGTTATTTTGGGTGAGTAATTGGGTTTGTTTATGTGATAAATTGTCAAAGTGCTTTGTATATGTTAAATGGATACTTAGGCGAGGGTGTACTTTATCTCACTCAACCTAAACTCATTCTCTGCTCTTGATTTCATATTGGAGAATACATGCCTTGTGGTGAGTATCACCCCTTGAGCTGTGTGCTGTTGGGGTGATTGACTTGAGTATTTTGATGAGTACTTTGTTGAGAGGTATCCTTTGTTGAGAATTGGATATCTCAGGGCTTGGTTCCAACCCGGTTCCAAGGGTAGACGGACTATTCAACCGGCCGGGGCTTGGTCGAAGTTAGTTCTATGCTAACCTTGGGATTTCGTTCTTTGTTAAAGCAAAGTGATTTTGTTTTGCTCGAGCTGCTGTGTGCTGTTGACTGGCCAGCAGGGTTGATAAGGTGAACGGGGAAGTAAGTGGAGTCTACGGATTATGAGTATTTTGGTTGACGGAGTGTCAACAGGTGGTCAAGCGGGGAATTGAATTGGCTTTAAAGCACTTGTATCCTACCATTGTGATGTTACATTTCTGTTTATTGATATGAAATGTCTTGGTTTACATGTCTATTTAGCTGTGATTTTACGTTTTTACCCCGATTATTCACTAAGCATATAGCTTACCCCATTCCATTTGTTTTCCTTAGCAGGGACCGACGCGGGATGCTGGGAAGGTGTATAGACTTTTGGTTTATAGAATAGTTGATTTTGCCCTAGTACTTGTTATAAGTTGACTAGTAAGATGTATATTTTGTTGTGGCGGTTATAGTTAGTAGCTTCTCTAGGTTTACTTTCTGGTACTAGTGGTGTGTATGGCCTGATGTAATAGCTTATACAACTTTTGAAGATGCAATAGTGTAAATAGAACTTTCTTTTAGCGTGACATCTATTTTCTCGTTTTTGGTATCGAGTCCTGGCGCGAGTTAGGCCGACGATCCGCTAAACCCTTTGGTACGCCTCTGGGTACGGTGGGGTCGTCACAGTTGATTTATCACTAGCTTCAAAAGGGTGTTGATTTATCATTTTTGTTGCTAAAAATGATATTCTAAAAGATAGGGGGTGGCTTTATAAAGAGGCTTTAGAGAAGAGTGAGTGGGGTGGAGATGTGGAGGTCCTGAAGGTCATAGGGGAAGATCATGTCTTCAATTTGTCTTTTTTCCAAAGGAGAGAATGTTTTGTCGTTGCTAAAAAAGTTGGCTACTTTCATCAACAAGAATATTGTGTAGATGCATCTTTGAGTTGATAATCACTTTGTTTATTATCATTCTCTGAATCGTTTGTATATCTGTTTAAAGTTCATTTAATCTTGTTAATAAAAAATCATATATAAGTGTTTGTTTCAAAATATATGAACTGAGCAAGATAGCATGCATAATTTCCTTCTCCATCTCCCAGTATACATTAGATATTTTGTTACTCCATATTGTTACTCAATATGCGTGAGTGTTTTTATATTCGCTTGAACTACCGTAAAATCCTCTTTAATCACAGGCACCAAACACCTGTGCGATGCGCGGACATTCCCCTCCTAATATATATATAAACATCATAAGACATTTTATAATATCAATAATAATGGTTGAAGATACAACCAAAAAACTAACAAAGACTACACTTGGAATTCCAAAATCCATTCTAAATTCAAATAAAAATTACCTACAAATCAATGAACATATATGCACATATTGTTAATTGTCAAATTTACTAGTTAATTGCTTCAAGCTCCAATATCAAGTTGAGATTTGATAACAAAAATTCGAGAAGTTCTAAATCTAAGAAACATATCTGAAAGAACTCAGATCTATCAAAGGAAAGACCAAAGAAGGACTAAAAATGTCCTATTAAAATACCCTTAAAAAGAAGAAAACTCTGACCAAAAGATTTTAGGAAAGGTGAAACTCTCACAATGTCAAGCATAAAAAGTCATAGTAATTAACCAATTCTTTATAGAATTAACTCTAATTATCAATGTACTTGTTTGATTTGTATACTGCAAAAAAGAGATAATTGGACTTAATTTAATTGTTAATCGGGAATCGATAACCTGAAAGTCTAGACTGCGTGACATGAGAATGAATTAGTGGTCAATTAAAATTTCTGGGACTGCACCATTGTGAAGAAGGAAGATGGTGCAACTTAGATCATTAGCTCGACCGTTAATTGATTATGAATTTGGGGAATGGGGATGGATTAAATATATTCTTATAGAATGATTTTGGGCATCCTATTGGTGTACTGATATGGAGGTGTTTTCCCAATCAAGTTGGCGTATGCTAATTCGAAAATCTTCAAGAGTGAAGATTGGCCTACTCAAGAATAAGGGTGGCAATTCAGCGAGTTGGGTTAAATTTAGGCGAGTTGTTTATGAGTTTAATATAATTGGGTTGTAACCCAATCCGTCCAACATTTCAATGAGTCAATTTTCGATTTGGGCTAATGTGGATTTACTCAAATGCAGCATTCGCTAATGACCCAAACCAGCTGTCTTTTAAAATTTTTGCCCTTTTTCCTTACTAATTACTCGATCTTCTTTCCCAGCATAAAGAACCTATTTGACACTTTGCAACAAGCCATCGGCTTCTCCGCCAATTATAGTCCACCGTCTCTGGTGACCGATTGGTGACTTTTTTTGTGTGGATCTACATGCATTCTTAATAATAAACCAAAATCCACCATAGGCATAATAGCGATTAGGTATAGCACCACCACTTACTCCATTTAGCTTGTTTTTGTATTTCGAGTCCGTTTGGTTGGACTGAAAATATTTTCTATCGAAGTCATTTTTCTGAAAAAACACTTCCTTCCCTATAATTTTCCAGTATTTGGTTATTAAGTGAAAATATTTTCCAAATTTCTTTTTTCATAATTTTCTGGTATTTGGTTTGTCAATGAAAATATTTTCTGATATGTTTGTTGATATGTTGCAAATATTTTTCTACTTTCAAAACATTCATTTCATTACAAGTTCATTTTAGTTTCTATCCATTATAATCATATTATCATTTCTATAAAATATTTATTCATATTACACAGCTTCCTAAATTATGTGTAAGGATGTAAAACTTAAATTTCCTTTGAGATCTCTATATGTGAATCTCAAGGATGAACATGGTCACCAACATTGATTCTCCTCGTAGGAACCTGAGCAACAACTCTTTTCGACCGTCACAAGCTCCAGCATGGTTCTCAACCTTAAATTAGCTAACCACTTTGTGAGTATTAATCACTATGGAATCAATACTAAGAACTCCTTTCTTTTTCTTATTAAAATTTTTGGAATGGTGATCAGGACTTTGGAAAATGGTCCACTCCAGGGACAAGTACCCCAGCAACTTTTTAGTTTACTTCAGATCCAAATAGTGTAAGTTTAAAAATAAGCAATCTTAAAGAAAGAAAGCATTTGGATGCTACCTGGAGAAGTGAAAGAACTTATTTTGATAGCATTAACTTTTAACAGGATTCTGAGGAAGAACGCATTCAATGATACATTGGATATGGGTAACAACATTAGCCAACAACTGCAACTTGTTGATTTGCAGAATAATGATATATCTTCAGTAGTACTCAGTTCCGGATACAGCAAGACATTACTGTGAGTGATAAAATTCAAAAAACTTCCACTGACATACATAAAATACCACACGTTGCCAATTCTCTTTCCAGACCAAACTGCTGAATATTTTCTCTTTACTCCAGTTTGATGGGGAATCCAGTATGCACAAGTTCAATCGCAAGCACATCTTACTGTCAGCCACAGAAACGATCTGCAACAAATTGTTTAAACCAGCCTCAAGTGCTGCACCGTCTTCTCCAAAACCCAAAACTTAGGAAGCTGTGCAATTTTCTCTCCAAATCAACCTTTATTTATGCTGTATAAACTAGAATCCATAAATAAATTTTGCCACATAATGTGAAGACCCAGATAGTGGGTCTTTGCCAGAGTTGGAGATGCTGCCGGCGAAGAAGGGATTTGTTTGCTGATGAGATGTCGCTAGAGATGGTCTGTCATCACTGTCGAAGAAGAGATTGGTCTTTTATCGATGGTTCCTTGCTGGAGGCTGTGAAAAGAAGACTGCTTTTATGAAAGGAAAATAACTTCACAATGCTAGATAAAGAAGTTATTTTTCTCCTGTCAGTGTAACTTATTTTCTGTCAGAAATTATTTTTCCAAATTAATTGACAACTAAACAACAGAAAATATGGAAAATATTTTCCGAAAATCTTTTTCCACCCAAACAAACAGACCCTTCATATCAAAAATTTTACGAAAAAATCTCTCTTCAAGGTAGTTATAAATATAATAGATTTAAGCGAGTTTAATGTGTTCAAGGCACAAATTCAAGAGAGTTTTAGGGGGTCCACATCTCAATCTAAGAGAAGTTTTGATTATGCATCAAATCAAAAGAGTAAGTTATGAATTTTTGGACCGTTAAGCATTATGTTATTTAGGCTCTTTTGTACTTTCAATTTTAGGTACCTTTGAGCTTTAGAATTATTTTCTAGGGTTTTATATTTGCTCTTTTGTACTCTCTTTTTGTTATACTAACTCTACTACCCTTTGCCCCTCGAAGTAAAACCACGTAAAATTCTATGTCTTTCTGTTCATTATATTTACTTTTTTATTATCTTTATTGGATTGATAAAAATCCTATTATTCTTGTTGGTTAATTTCGTGAGACTAGACCTAAGATGCTCTGCCATGAAACCACAAGTTATGCAAATCAATAGATACTTTTCTCAAAGGAGTTATCAACTCGGATCTAACTTGAAATTGAGACACAGAACATCATAACAAATTATAATGCCAAATGGTTGTGGGCTACAATATGTTGGGTTCCAGGTTGATAACACTATCGAAGATATCTTGGGTTTTTATTTCCCAGAAATTCGATTTAGAACTTTGACCCAAAGAAGAAAGGGATGGATCTTTAGTTAGAACTTGAGGTTCAATTTTCTCTCTTGATCAATACTGGGATCAGGACTAGCATCGGAGTAGTAAGGGATTGTAAGGGTACCCAACCCAAATTGTCCCATAACCCAATAGACCCGCCCAACCTCCTAGAAACAGTGCGTGGGTTGACTGGGTAAATGGGTTTGGGCTTTGTTGCCAACTAGAGACATAGGGCACATTTGGGGTTGCGATAATGTGACGCCCCACTTCTCCCTAAGGCGCACCAAAGGGTATCCGCGGAACGCCTGCCTAGCTCTGGCCAGGACTCAAGCAATAAACGTTCAAGCTTAAAGCGATACTAGATACCACAATCAAATTAGTACAAATACATATAGTGCGGAAGCGTTCATGCTTAATAATATCCATCCATTATCCAACCCGCACGTCGAGCGTTCATAATACAACTTAAATTCCAAAATATACATCACATATATCCGAATGATACATTAAACTTCCAAAAGTACAATCATAAAGGGGTCAAGCCAAAATACACTTGAAACCCTAAAACAAAATATATCCAAAAGGAGATTTCTCCGCATTAACTCCATTTCCATTCCTGTTAAGGAAAACAAATCTACAGGGTGAGCAAAACGCTCGTGAGGCCAAGCACACACATGCAAGCACGTAGTTCAAGTAACAATCCCAATTACAAGCTAAGCAATAATATGTTTCAATAATTAACAATTTACCGGAAAGTAAACGGAAACAATTCAAGAATATAGGAGCTCTCAAGAGCTATATTCCACTTGCACGATTAATAACCTCCACGAATTGACACTCCGTCAATCGGGTAGGTTTTGTTCGTAGAAATTCACTTAACCTGTCCCCTTTCACCTTACATACCCTGTATCGGGCCCGCCTGTCATTTGTTTGTGGCGATACTACTCGAGTATGCCAAGCAAAACCTCTCATTAGGTCAAGCTTATATATCTCATGACTCGCCAAGGTTCCCGATCAAGCCCATGTCGGCTCAAGTCCAAGGTCGGCCAATGAGATGTGGGCGTCCCCATGTGCAATTGTGTGTCGAGGAGATTCACTCAAACGACGTATGCAGCCATAGCATACCATATCATGTATCAAGCATTGATACGTACAAGCAATCGATGTATCCAATCAATCGATATATTCAAGCAATTTGAGCATGAGTTAAATCATTTCGAATGAGAACGAGTGCGAGAAAGTACACACTTGACTCCATTTCCCAAAATCTCAAGTATCAATAACAAGTAATCACGTATCGAATTCACAGGAGTTCAAGTAACACACACTTGACACTCATCAAGTAAAACGAGAAGAAAAGGGCACTCGAAGTTTAAGCGTCCACTGTGGGATCCTTTTGTGGGTCCTCGTGTGCGCCTGAGCAAATAATAGTGAAGCATCACTCATATATCCCAATTGTCAAGGAAGATTGTACACTAGTACAATCTAAGGAAATTTCATGAAATCAAACCTCAATTACTCGTAAATCGAGGTTCAATTAGAGTTTCTTAAAGTACAAGAGCGATCGAGTTTTCATTTTAGAAAATCAGGTATAACATGTTCAAGTAATATCGAAAGAATAAGGAGTGCTTGAAAACTCCCTTCCTTTGGAATTCGGAAGATTTTCAGTTTTGATATGATATTTTGAAAAATCGTATCTCACATTCTACACGTCAAAAATTGGAAAACTTGGTACCGTTGGAAACCTATTTGAAAGTACTAAAAGTTCTTAGAAGACACTTTTCCATGAATCTAAGTGGAAGATATTCAAAAATGGGCTTAAAGTTGCTGTTCCAGAACACTCAGAATTGAGCCGGGGTTGGTTTTTCGCTAACTTTGGAAATTCGGAAAAATTCACACGTTGTGAGCTAGCCTCTGACATTTGTAACTCAATTAGAGTTGCAAGTAAGATTTATAACAGACAAAGCAGATCAAGGATCGGAGTTTCAAGCACCGAGATACGGTAGCTCGAAGTTTGGGAAAAATTCAAAACTGGTGAACAAATTTCCAGATTTGAGCTTCCAACTTTGGGACTTTAGTTAGGTATCGAAATGGACTTGGATTGGTACAAATTTTGGCAGTATAATACTCCTATATAAATAGTATCCCTCTCTCAAATTTCATGGAAAAATACCTTCTGGAAGGTAGTCAATCAAACACCCTAAGTTTCGAAAATACTAAAACAAAACTGCCTTGAACCTTTTGTTTTCCATTTCAAACATTTGGTCAAGGAAAAATTCCTCAAACATGGCTCATTAGTGTAGGCAAAGCCTAAGGAATATTCATGGTACATTTGGTAAGTGTTTAGCACCAAAATATTCAGTTAGCAAGTCTATACCAAGACTTGCATCAAATCTGTCCAAAAGTCAGGGTTTTCAAGAGCAGGGCAGGTTCCTTATTTTGATCACAAATCACCCAAATTAACTCGGAATTGGGCATGGTTTATGGCGTTGGAAAACACATTCATAGAGCTATAATTTCAAAGAATAAATCATTCTGAAATTCGGCACACAACTAGCTCGAATTCGAGCCACAAGTTGCAGCCTCAGCATTTCGTTCCAGTAAAACAGAGAAACAGAACAGCCGACTTTAAGTGGTTGGTTCGGCTCACATACATGGAACCAGAATGTGCATTTTATACCATCGGAAAGGTTGGAATGTCTAGTTTCAAATGCCGCTGACGGAACTCAATTTTGACATCGGGGCACAAAAATTATGGCCGAAACACGAAAGCTGGTCAGAGCATTACGGGAACAGTTCCAGATTTACTAGCTTTGTGAAATCAATTCATTTGACCCACCAAACCTCAATATTTTTCAATGAAATTTTATACACCATCTATACAACATATAAACATCATATATAAGTCATTACAACCCCAAAATTCTGCAGAAATAGATACGTTCAAAGCAGGGGCAGAATTGGAACTTTTCGTCTCATGCATTTCTTGAAGTTCATACTACTAATACACCATTAATCTACCATTTTGAGCACTAAACCAACATTAAATTCATCATCAATCATCACATCAGCCATCAAGACAAAGGGTAGGAGTTCATAGAGCCCACCTTCCAAATTTCCAACAATAACAACCACCCATATGAATATCCAAGCTTAAAGGTGTTAAGCAACCTCTATAAACCAAGTTTAGAGTGTTGGATCATTACCTACTTTGGTTTGATGTTCAAGCAGAATTTCGGCCCCCTTTACTCCAGGAAAACCGTGATTTTCAGCTCCCTTTGCAGCTCAAATGATCCTTAAGTGTTAAGCCACGTGTGGTTTAAGTTGGTGTGAATTGGATGAAGACTTGTGTAAGATTTGGGATGGAATTTGCAAAACTTGGAGTTGTTTTGTTGCAGCTGATGTTTCGGCCAAATGAGAAAGAAAGGGGCGTATGATATGCTGAAATAAAGCTTCTAAAGTAAGCTTAAATGTGTGGCCACAATTCACCGAAAGTCAACTCTCTCTTGCGCGTGTACGGGCGCATTTTGGGCTCGATTCCTTTCGAGTTTATTTCACTAGTGTACTAAATCTCTAATGCAATATTCATTATAAATATTATTCACTCTTAATTGTCCCAAAATAATGGTCTAAAGTCCCTTAATTAATCGCGCCCGCCGTGAAAACGCGTATTTCCAATTTAGGCGCGATAAAGTGAAACCTTCGAGAAATTCTTATAACGATCGTACCACTAACTATCACTTGAGTACTTAAACCTAAATTTACCTATTTTAAGACCGTTGTACATGTCTCCAATTTTCCTGGCTTAATGTACTCCAAATTGGTTAAATTATCCAAACGCGTTTTCACTTTCACTAACAAGTTTCTAAGAAAATAATTTTTGAAACGAGACACTTTAAAAATATAATGAAACTATAATACCATGTACTTAGGTCTAATAAGGCTAGAAAATATCATTCGTGGCAAAATCCAAATAAATAATTAATTAAGCCAAAATTAGGGATTTAAAAATAATAGATTTTCGAGTCCTCACAGATAACTTATTGAAAAGTACTTTTCGTATTAAAGTTTTTAATAAAAGTACTTATTATCTGTTTAATGCGTTTAAATATATTATTTGGAAACATAGTTTAATAAATACTTATTGTATTGGATAATGTATAATTTGAAAATTATTAAAAGTGTTTTATCTCTTTATTTGATTCATAATGTCGGATAAAATAATTAAATTTGATGTTTTATTTTTTAAATCACAAAAGCTACTCTCAAAGCACCAAATTTGAGTTTTTGCTAAAAATGCTTTTAACACCAAAAATTTTACTCCTAATTTTATTGCATGATATTCGTTGAATATTTTAAAAGTACTTTTAGTACATAAAAGTGCTTTTGTAACAAAAGCACCAAACCCCAAATGGGGCTATAGTCAAAATTACAATAGTTCTAAACTTATTTATAAGCACACAACCCCTAGAAATACATAAGAAACGGGAAATAATAAATACGAAACCTAATAAAAAATTAAGAAACTACCAAAATTACCAAAATAATAGAGAAACGAAATGACCAAAAGGTGCTACAAATCACCCGTGTTTGCCATGGAGGATTAGGAGTCCGATCCAAGGCCCACAAGACTAGATAATAGGATTAACAAGATCGAAATAATTCAGCCCGGCAATCGGTTTCAAGTCCGATGTGGATTCTGCATAAATTCTGCTAGCGTCCTTTGTAGCCTTTTTCATGCACGTTTGGGTAGGCAACTCGACCTCCTCCTCCACAAAGATCCCTCTGTTCTTGAAACCTTGTTCTACATCACTAGTATAGTTATAGTTATCATTTGTATTATTGTTTTTCTGTCACCTTGCATATCCTCTGTTTCTCTTCAATCAATAAAAGCAACCAAATTTTACATTAAAAAAAATGAATGGTAATGTACGGTTAGAACTGCTTTATTTGAAACTAGACTGAAATTCCTGAAAATCAGAATAGAAAAATTACTTCCTTAAAATCTCTAGAAGAAAAAGTAATGAAGTAATTTTGTGTAATTAAGTCACAATTAGTCGCCTTTCCAAATGTTTCAGAAAGCGTGAGACTCGTAGCTTCACATACATGTCTAGCGTGGAAACAACAGATGTGAATATTGAGAGATTATACGAACCAGTATGGGTGTCAGAATTTGTCAAATATAAGGGAAGGAGAAACAAAACTAAAACAAAGAGTGGAGTCATTTTTGTTATATCGTCTAAATACATGCAATCACACTCTTGTGTGTCAACAAGATGGTAGTATTAATTTAGGTTAGAACCACGTGATTCACATGTCCAGATCTAGACTATGACCATCATGGGTTTGAAAAAAAAAATTCACACTCGGATGCTATTAGAATTTGAATTCAAAGTTAATAACAACATATATAATGCAAAGATATCAGAAATACAATACAATTACCAACACTGAAAAGTATTACACCTAGTAATTATGAAGTTAAAGTATGAAATGTTATTAAATAACTCTATTTGTTTGAAAATCTTGGTGTATTTTCAACATTTAAACTTGCATGTGTTTAAACATCCTCCATTTTTCTATATATACATATAAGTCTAGATAGGGTTTGGATTACATATGGATTAATATACAAAATCAGATCCTACCCATACTGTGATTCTTTCACATGGTCTAGATCTAGCAACATGATGGATCTGGACTGAATTTGGGCAAATGCCTAATCGATTGACATACCTATTCTCTTGTAACTTAAAGCATGGTTATAAATTCTAGCTCAAACTAAGTGGTTCAATTGGTTAAACCGTTGACCAGTCCACTGTCCGTTTCAGTTTGATCCTTAGACTATAAGGGTTCAAAATCTACCGTATTTTGTGAGACTCAGATGAATTGGTTAGTTCAACTGCTAAACAATTGAACCAGAACAGTTTAAGCAAATGAGTTGGTTTTATACTCCTAATGCAATTAAGACCAATGATTTTAAATTTGGTCGAATCTCCACATTAATGACAATCTACATTATTATAACCAATTTTCAATACAATGCTGTCTTCAACTAACTTAAAATATTTATATCATACATCTGCGTCTTGTATGTAATCTTTCTTTTCATTTTCTTTACCTTCCCACAAGTTATACTACATATGCATTTATTTTGCTCTTTCTTGTTTTTCATCAAAGGGTTTGGCTAGTAGGTGCCTTGAGGGCACTAGTTAAGAGAGGACTCAAGTGTTAAGTCTTTGGCAAAAGTTAGACTAATGTGAAAAGATGTCCAAAGTGTGCATTAAATGTGAGTGTAGTTAAGTATGATTTAAATATACTAACGAATACTCCGATCCTCTATCAAAATACATATACATATATTTATGTCCATTTTAAACGGTTAGTACATTGTGGTTCTTTGTTCTTTTTTTATTTTCTTTCAAACTTTTTCATGGTTCATATATTTAATAAAAATAATTAACAAATATCACATAATTATGATGTCATGGGTCAATTGAGTGTAGAAAACCTTCTATCTAAGTTAATACTTTAGAGCTTGGATGAATATGCATAAATGTTTATATATAAACAATTTGGGGACCTAAACTTCTAGAAATCTCATTGTTCTACCCTAACTAAATGTTGTGTACATGTTAAATTCAGCCCCTATGAGAAAAAGGAAGACATAAAAATTCGGTTAAGTAGAGAACATATTTTTCATGTCATAATTGCCCTTCTTGTTTCTTACTTGTTAATTCATTAGAATTTTTTAGGAGTAATAAGATGTTAGAAATCCAAGGAAAAAATGTGTTGGGGTTGCAAGTGTAATGCAACAAAATACAACAACATCAACTATCAACTAGCAAGCACTTTATAATTGCAATAACAAAGGTTACTTGGCTGGAACCGTATAGACTTGGGGATTGAACAAATTGAACATTGATGAATACATTTGAAAAGTACAAAATTAAGAATTGGAGCATAAGTATGACCTTTCAAGTTTAAGAGGGATGTCAATAGGCTTGTAAACGGTTGGGTTCGGGTCAGATTTGAAAATTTTGGACCCAAACTTGCTATAATGTACCAGTTCTAAACCCGACCCGTCTATCCGACGGATCTTGTGCTTAGGGTTCTGGAACTGGGTCCAATGGTCTCGGGTCGGGTTTGGATCTACCCAAAAAAATAAGGCCCAACAAAACTAAGGTTTAGGAAAGATGTGTGGGTAGACCAAGAGAGAAGAGAGAGATATGCGGTTGGGTGGATTGTAAGATTCGGATTTGTTAATTTGGTAAAGAATTATTATTATTGTGTTTAGAAATATTTATATTTTATAATTATGAATGTATTATCTGGATTCGGGTTGGATACGGATCGAAATCTTGTATTCCGTATCCGACTCGCTTTTTTTTTTTTTTGGTTAAAGTAAACGGGCACGAGTCCGGATTCAAGTGACGGAATTATGTCCGGTCCGGGTCGTGTTCGAGTCCAAATCCGGACCGTTGACAGCTCTAGATGTCAACGTCTTTCAACCTTGGAGTGAAATGTTGTGGCTTTATTTGTAAGGCCACAATCGAAATGTTTTGGGCCAAAAAAAAAGTAAAAGAAAAGGTAAGCTCTACATCTGCTATAGCAATTTGTAGATTCTTCCAAGATATGACGCCAAAGAAATTAGTGAAGTGAATCGAGCCAATGTGATAAGTTGATTGGCATTAACAATTTTCAACTTCAAACATACAGCCTCCTAAAATGTGCCAACATTTCTAAAACTTTTTGTTAAAGATTGGGGACAACTTTTTGAAAAAAAAAAAGAAATGAAAGAGAAAACAAACATGACAAATTTTTCAGTGAGAAAAACTTTTCCGAAGCAAGCCTAAAGTACTAAGGATACAAGTGTCAATTTGTGGGTTGCAATGTTGACTTTGGATGACAAGAGAGGATAATAGTATTTTAAGAAGAGTGCCAATTAATATTATTAGAAAACTTTGGGAAGTTTCTATAACTTTCCCAATTCTGTATTGACCATCAATAATAACACAAATAGTGCTAGTAAAGCGAAGATGGGCTCTGGAAGATTCAAAAGTGGCGGCGGCTTAATCGAATTATTGGGATTACGACCAAAGGAAAGAAAACTGCTAAAACATATTTTGAGGTCAGGCAAACATGGATAAGTTTTAGAGCATTTTCAGGTATATATACACAAATAATCAAGTGAAGTCAGGCACCAAAAGATATCTCTCTATATCATTTCAAATTTCCAGAATGGAACTCGAGTTTCTTCCTTTACCTTTGAGCTTCTCTAGTCTGCTTCTTCTCTTCTTGTTCCAATTTATGGTATCGAAGATTTTGACACAAATATATAACTTGGCTGGAAATCTTCCACCAGCTCCAATAAAGCTTCCTCTAATTGGGAACCTGCACAACTTGATTGGTGGA